GGACCTCTAGACTGTTTTCTAGTACTTTGGATTATTAGTCTCTAATATTCATTAATTCTGATTAAAGAATTCTGATTAACTAATGAATTCAAGGTGCCAAGCCGTTGGTGACCCAACTCCTCAGCATCAACACTAAATAATTTTAGGAGAGTTTCCTCTAAAATGTATTGAAATGATAATTTTTAAGCCACCAAATATTACAGTCACCATGCCACTGCTTACAGAAAAGAGCTATACCTAGTTCAAAATTACTACAGAATTCTTATCTTGCATACTCTTTTCTGCTAGGCATTTATGGAAGGTGGGAGAAAAGCTTGTTCATTGCCCTCCCCCACCCCCTGCTCTTTTTTTTAGTCAAACTTTTTCCCTAAGCACGAATTTTCCCACTGGGGCACACCCATTTTGACAATAACTGGACAGAGCCAAAGTATAGTTAGAAGATTACAAAACTGGTTTGGTTCATTGAGGGTACACTTGTAACTTCAGATGATTTTCTTTTTCTCCTATGTGTTACAGCTGTGAAGAGAATTTCCCACTAAAACAATTACAGGTAGCTAGTCTTTTAAAGCACAAAAGTTTTATTTCAATATTCTTAATTCCACATTTTTTAGGTCAAATGATTGACGTTGACTTTGCTCATACATATAAATATGTCTATATATGTAAAATGTGTGTGTATATATAGATATTGATAGATGATAGATAATCTGTGCTGGTGCAACAATGTTTATGGAAAACTAGTTTTCATGAAATTGTATTAGATTTTGTTTAAAGATACACACTCTTAGAACAGAAGTTACAAACTGGCAGCCTATGAGCTGAAATAGACACATATAACTTGGTTTCATTTGTCCTGTATGATATTTTGTTTTTGTTGTTGTTGTTTTGTTGTTACTGCTTAACCTTTAACAATCAGTTATTGCTTAACCTTTAACAATCAGGGGGTTTCACATAGAAATCCAGCTTTCCAGTTTCTCTTGAAAAATTGGGAGACACTGTAAGAATTGTGTGCAGTTCAAACGCTGGTGATGCTGTGATTTTAAACTGCAAATAGCAACAATTTAAGGGCTTCCCTATCTTCATCTTGCCGTTTCTCTTCCGTATCAAATGGTGTAAGCTACAGGCACTGAAGTGCTTACCCACAGTGCTCCCTGACTTAATGGGGTATTACATGCCATCCTATTCCACCTGTAATTTTCCCCCCAATTTCTATGTTACATCAATTTTTCCTCCATAAAGTTTTCACATTTGGGCCTATTTTCTTCCTCTCCTTGTTATGACTTTTATCCAGGTCATGTTTTCCTCACTTCAGGGATGCTGAGCATATTACTGTCTTAGCCAAAATTCCTCTTCCTGTACCCTTTCCTCTGCCTGCCCCACCCCATTCTGCACATCATGCTCAAATCATACTTCACCATATTAGTCCCTGCCCTCAGACCTGCCGTGACAACAAAGAACCAATGTCCAACTATTTAACCAATGGTCAGCACTCAGCCTGTCCCGCTCTCATTTTGTGTTAATCCACACACAAATAACTAGCCAATGTGCTTATTTCCCTAGCACCAAAATTGACATATTCCAGCCTCTGATGCCTTTGCTCCCAGCATGACCTCCTCCTCTCCATATGTGCAAACAAATTGTAACCTCCTTCAAGACGGGTGTTTCGAGACCACTTTTGTCCACAGTTGCAGGATGCATCTCATCTTGCCTGGTGCTTATTTCAAAATCGTATTTTGTTTCTCTGACTACCTTAAAACAGTGTTTCTCCAACTATGATCCCCAAACGTCTTACTTCAGAATCACCTGACTTACTCTTAAGCATTTATTCCTGGGTTCCAGCCATATCCTCTTGAATTCCTTAAGTTGGGACCCAGGAATCTGATGAGTCTAAATTTTCAGAAGTCTAGAATTTAAAGGCAATGTGATTGGTATTGACAGATGGTATCAACTTGATGGTTTGACAGAGGGTAAATTCATTTCTCAATGAGTGCATTTTTAGGTCTGTCGCTGGTGTTTCTCATACACTGTTTACCCTAATTTTTGGTAATAGCTCAGGGTATGGCTTTTACCAGTTCTTTGACATCACTGCTGAGGCCATCAGGCCCATTATCTATCTGAGGGAAACTGGAGGCAAAAAAGAGCCTCTTCACCGTTCGGGCAAAAGCAAGCCAATTAGACAGTAAGCTCCTTGACTGCAGGAGTGGGTTGACTTTTATCTTGTTCTCTGCCACCCTCATACTTCGTCTCTAGTAATGCTGCAACTAATAAACATCGAATTGAATTGGATAAATTGCATGAATATTTGAAGATGAGAAGTTAGCAAGAACTGCAGTACTTAGAATGGGGATGATGATGACGACACTTGGTTGCAGGCTCACGCTGAGGGTAGGTGCTGCTTTCAGTGCAGATTACTCCACTGAGTGCCTCCTCCAACCCAAATAAGGTATTGCTATGATTACCCACATTTTGACAACAGGGAGTATTCAGCTGGAATTCCAGAGGGAGGCAACAGAGGCCCTGTGATATGAGAAGCAACCATTTTTCTGACTGATAACTTTTGGGGAAATCACTATGATAAAGTACTTTAATGAAAAGAACAGAATTTGGAACAGGAAGACTTGGGTTTGAGATTCAATTTGCCACTTCACAGGTCTGCAACTTTGAGCAAGATTCCACATCTCTCTAAGCCTCAGTCCCTCATTCTGTAAAATGGGGACAACACCACTGCACACTAGGTTATTATAGGGATCAAAAGAAGGAATGTATATAAAACACTATGAAAATATACAGTGCTGTTGCTATTGCAGATTATATTGTTCAAGGTGTGAACCAAGTTCTCAAGAAACATAAATATACTATTTTGAGTCATGTTTTAAGGAGGGAAAGAAACACAGAAATAATAAAATATTAATCTCCCAATCTCACAAAGCAGGTATTACAGTCCCCAGCTAAGGAAACTGAGGCTCAGGGAGGTGAAGTAACATGCCACAGTCACATGGCTGATAAATAGCTGAGCTGAGATTTAAAAACCATCCTGCCTGACTTCAAATGCCATGTTCTTTCCACTATACCAGTTGGTCTTTTTATATATAGATATAAACCAACCCATATACTTTTTCTTAACATTAAATAAAAGACATTTATGTTTGAAAAGTAACTCATCCTGATAATTCCCAATTAAGATATTGTCATCTAGCATCTGGCTCAATTTCCTTTTATGAAATATAGTAAACATAATTTGAGTGTAGCTTAAATGAAGTGTCCAAATGGAATAAAACAGGTCACCTGGGAAATTAGATTTTATAGATTACAAGAATCCAATGACTAAATTGTATTTAACAAACACATTTTTTTAAAAGGAAATTTTCCAGGAAGCAATTGATTGCTCTGTCAATTTCATCATGATTTTTGTATGAGACATCTAAAGCATGAAACAATTAAAGTAAAAATAAATAATATAAATTTCACTATACGTAGTGAAGAACATCCCCCTCTTCATGGGTTTGGGATTCACAAGAAAAATACAGGGAGATCTTCCATCTAAGTTCAATTTTTTCCCTCCGCATTGTTTTTAAAGGATTCTTTTTTAAAGACTTTTTAATAAAAAGAAATTATAGAACTTTCTAGCCCTGTGGCTTTTTGAAGAAAGTGATTCTGAGAATATGTACTTCATGACTATACTATATGAATTTTTATCCTGAAATAGAGTCTCTTAAGGACATGAGCCCCACTATTAAATTTGGTTGCTGGGGAATTGGGCAGAAGACATGATTTTTTCTTTTTTCTTGAAAGTAAACATTTTTTAGTTGGGGGTGGGGGTAGGGTGGGATTAAGGATAAGAGTGGGTATGAGGGTATGATGAAGTTGGAGGTGTTGATTTAAGCACAGTAAGAAAATATTTTTGAGCACAGACATTTCCTGACAATTTAAACATTTTTTCCTTTCAAACATGGTGAGGTGATGGTTAAGTTCATGTGCTGTAGAATCACACAACATGGGATTGAATCCCAGCTCTGGTATTTCCTAATTTGGTAATTTTGAATAGACGAATTATTTGAACTCTTTAAGGCTCTCTTTACTCATAGGTAAATTAGAGATAATAATGGCTTAATAAGGTTGTCATGATGATTCAGCATAATTATCAATAAATGTCAATAAATATTTCAGTGTTGACATTATTATTATTGTTGTTGAAAACTTACTTGACATATTTATTAGAGTGTCTCATGACCTTATGAAACAATATTTAAGAACTGTAACTACTTAAGATTTAACAGATTTAAATCCCGTTATAATTTAATAGATTCATGGAATGGTGAAAAAGACACAGCATAGCTATTTATATAAAATATCAAATCAGTTTCCTTTAAGAGACATTAAAGGTGTTTATACAATCAAGAGATTATAAAACCAAGCCTTCTAGTAAATAATCATATTTTCAGAAGTACACAAATTTGTACTCATCATAGGAGAACATATCGATTTGTGTGTGTATTTCAAGCAACCATCTTACGCATGCTGTGCCTGTGGTCGACAGTGTTGTCTCCTGGGAAGGTGGCTTCTCTAATTGCAGTGAATGGTGATTCTATTTGTAGACATTATTTCCTACACCATGCATTCCTTTCTGTGATTATTATTTAAAAATACTCGTCCTCAAATTATTTAGTCTTTTTAGTTCTAAAGGAGGAAAATCTACAGCACAACAAGAACCTTACAGATAATATGTATCTGAGTTGAAAATACATATTAAGTCTTACCGAGAAAGTAATCTGTGTTTCCTGCAACACAGAACAAGAAGTGGCATTTCAATAACAAAGATCCTCAAACTACCACTCAGGCCACGTGTGTTAAAAAAAAAAAAAAGAAAGAAAGAAAATCAGAAGTACTAATATCATTTGAACTGTGGAGGCATTTTTTCTCTTTCTACCATGCTATCACTTGCTTATAAACAAAAGCATAATTTTCACACCAATAAAAATATCAAGAGCAAGAAGACTTACCTTCCTTCAACCAAGAAATGTTATTTTTATCATTTTCAAAATGCTCAGCTGTTCTAACTTTTATCTTTTCCAGCTCGGTTTCTGACATCTAAGTGGAAACAGAATTTATGATATAAAAAATTCATTAAGAACCCAAATTTATAACATTGAGTTTTATATTTAGAGACTACTGCCATATTATCGGAAAATTTTATCTCTATAGTTTTTCAGTTCACTGTCTAATGTTAAGTCTTACATTTTATCCATTTGAGTTATTTTAAAACATTGACATTGAAAACTAAACTTTATATGATATTACATTGTTCAACAGTAAAGATTACAATAAGATCTCACAGTTACTGATTGTGAAGGAAGAACAGCTTAACAACTTGCCATGGATTTGTAACAAACAAACAAACAATCAGTTCTCGTTTTGGTGTTTTTTTATAGCCTTTAGAAAAGCATGCTGCAAAGTAATATACAAAGACATAAATAAAACACAAAAGGATCTTTTCAGGAATTCCCTGGGTGGAATAAGACCATCACGATCTAAGCCAGGCCAGGTTGAGCTCCCAGAAGGTGTGGAGACCTATTATGCACCTTCAGCGCAGTGCACTTGACTTTCATGGCTTGTTGGTAATGCACTAAGATGGTCTGCTTGAATCAGTACTGCAGTGTACTTACCTGTGTGTTCCAAAAAGAAGCGGCCCAAGGTGTGGGACTGGGGAGCAGTGTATTGCAGCCTCCCTGGTCTCTTGAAGTCCAGCATTCCTCTACCCTGACAGGCGTGAGCGAACAAGCAAATACACTCCCTCCCTGGGTGGTGCTAGATTTGTATTGCTGCCAGAAGCATCCAACTTGCGGCTGAGAGGTTTTTTTTTTTTAAAGGTAATATAAAGCCCGTGGTTCAAAACAATAAAAACCTTCTCCAGGCTAGCACTTATTTAAAATGACACTCTGCAAAATAGGGTAAAAATAATGAACTCTTTTCAAATAGACAAAGTTTCTTCCATCCCCTGCCTTTTATACCAGCCATTCATTCCTTAGGATTAATATTAAAAGATGTAGAGAAAATATATCGAAAAATATACACAGACTATTTGGGTTAAAAGAAAAGGAAGGGAAATCTTTAAAGCTACATTCTCTGGAAGTCCATCCTGCAGCTGATATTTTGAAAAGGAAAATTTTTTTCCTAATACTGTATAAGCAGTAAGAAAACATTTCAAATTCTTTTGATAGTCTGCAGATATTCCAAAAAGGATTTGGAATAGCATTCCAGAGATGATTTGCCATTAGATTCTTTGTTAAGAATAATATTGTTTTCAACAGAAAGTTAAAAACAAAAAGCATAACCCTTAGGTATGCATAATGATAAATAGTTCACCTTTTCTAAAAGTTGTCAGTTTTTTCAAAATGGAAAATAATACTTATTTTGTCACATGGTGGCTTGCCTCCTCCAGTGTCTTTACCCGGACAACTGTCTGTCATCTGATCTTGTATCCATTTCACCTCCTTTTCCAATTTTATTTCTTCTTGTACTTTGCTGCCAGTAGTATCATCATCAAAAACCTACCTCGATCAGCCAATTTTCATACTAAAATAACTTTCAGTGCCTCCCATTATCAATAAGATAAATTTTTGATTCCTTAGAGAGCTAAGGAAGTCCTTGAATGTTCAGATTCTATACTATGATTTTCAAAGTGTTGCATACAAAGTCTTAAGATTTCTTGGAGTTTCCTAAACTTTTACTCCAACCTAATTATATTGCTGCCGTTCCTAGAACAGACCTGTTTCTGTTACTAACATTCCTAAAAGTGTTTCCTCAAAATTGCTTCTCCACCCTTACCTCAAAACCATCTTGATATCTCTATCTGGAAATGATCTTTCCCTTTTCTGATCCGACTGGGGCTCTTAGTATGACTGGTCTCCATTTCAGTGTTCTGTAAATCTGGCTTACCTTCCTGACAAGACCATAAACCTCCCAAGTGCTCAGCCTCTATCTCGGTATTTTATGCATCTTGCTCAGTGTTTGACAAGATCACTCACAAATTAATGATTGTTGGATAAATGAAACCAGCATATCAAACACTGATGATAGTTTTTTTCTTCATCCCCAAATCATCCTTTCATTTGTCTCTTTTCTATAGTTATAATGTTTTATGTTGCTTCCTCATACATTTGGAGACCTAATCTAATTCCCTTAATAGTTTAATCATTATCCTTTGAAAAAAGCAAATTATTTAAATTCTACATATCAGTGGGACTGGAAAGACGTAATAATCACAGTAATCTGAAAGCAATAAGCAGAGACAACACAGGAGCTAAAAAATTCTAAGGTGAAAATATCTAGATGAGAAGACAATTGGCACTTGGAGAGAATGAATGAGCCAGAAACACAATTCAACATGTTATTTCTCCTAGTTTTTTTCAGTTTTATTTTGATATTACACAATATGATTATTGATATTGTTCCTCAACAGAAATAATGGTTATTTGTTGTTTTCTTTAATTTTCAAAATGAAACTGGGTCTCTGTAATGTTACAAGTCATGTGACCTCTTCTCTCCTTGCTTTCTAAGGCAATTTTCTTTCATTCTGAAATGCACCATTTTTCAAAGTTAGACAACTCACTTTGAATTCTATTGCTGTCTTTATGAGTATTTGCAATCATTTTTTTTAATGAAAGTGATGTCCTTGGGCCACAAAATACTTCATCTGGGTCATGGAGTCTGGTTTGGACTGGGAGTGTAATCTTTTCAGCTGAGCTGGGCTTTGGAATGAATGAGTTGAGCACACAGTTGATGGCTGAGGGTAAAGAAAAACCAAAATCTGATGACTCCCAGGCAGAGCAGACTGAGAAACAATACATGATCCAACACGAAGCTCAAAAGTGACAGGGCTGCCTCAGAAGACAGACGGGTCTGGTTAGAATCCGTGGAGGATAAACATGTTTTGAAAAGAATCCCCTGTCCAAATAATGTTCATTGTGCCCATTTAAAGTAGTGAACTAAACAATTCGTACCTTGGGATGTGGTCTCGAGGCTCAAGTTTTCTGGATAAATTCTGTTTTCTTTTTCTTTTTTTAATGGTGATAGTGTGAATGTACTCTTCTTTTTATAATTCTACTCCTTTTATTTTGACTCATGCCTCAGTATTTCTAATTCCTAATCAAAATCTGAACCAGAGATAGAATCTTTAAGGACAAACTGTCCAAGCAGACGTCAATGTTTGCCAAGAGAAAAACTTGCAAGATTGTTATATTTTATGTTCTTTTTTCTGTTAAAGTAGGATTTAATGTATGAAGCTAGAAACAAATAAGTACACTCCATCATATCAGTCTTTTTGATTGTCTTAAAAATATCACACAGTGGCTGGCTGGTTAGCTCAGTTGGTTTGAGCAAAGCCTTATAACACTAAGGTTACTGGTTTGGATCCCCATACCAGCCAGCCACCACCACGCCCCCCCCAAAAAATCACGGTATCACTTGCCATTGTTTGTAAAACAATGAAAATATATGCATAATGTAAGAATATGATGTTAATCAATGTGTAGATATGTCACCAGCTCAGATTATTGGATTTGAGAACTACAATTTGTAGAGTAGGGCTCTCTGAAGGATTTGTGGATTGGATCCAAATACAAATGTTAAAGGAAGGTGTAACGCTCCTTTGAAAATACCTCTCACCATATACTAAAATCAACTCAAAATGGATTAAGGATTTAAATATACACCCCGAAACAATAAAACTTATTAAAGAAAACATAGGAGAAACCCTTCAGCAAATAGGGCTGGGCACAGACTTCATGAATATGACCCCAAAAGCACGGGCAACCAAAGGAAAAATAAACAAATGGGACTATATCAAACTAAAAAGCTTCTGCACAGCAAAAGAAACAATTAACAGAGCTAAAAGACAACCAACAGAGTGGGAGAAAATACTTGCAAAATACACATCTGACAAAGGACTAATATCCAGAATATATAAAGAACTCAAACAACTTTACAAGAAAAAAACAAGCAACCCAATCAAAAAATGGGCAAAAGAACTAAGCAGGCATTTCTCTAAAGAAGATATAAAAATGGCCAACAGTCATATGAAAAAATGCTCAACATCACTCAGCATCCGGGAAATGCAAATCAAAACCACACTGAGATACCATCTCACCCCAGTTAGGATGGCAAAAATCCAAAAGACACTGAAAGATAAATGCTGGCGTGGCTGCGGAGAAAAAGGAACTCTCTTACACTGTTGGTGGGAATGCACAATGGTGCAACCCCTATGGAAAATGGTTTGGAGGTTCCTCAAACAGCTGAAGATAGACCTACCATACGACCCAGCTATCCCACTGCTGGGAATATATCCAAAGGAATGGAAATCATCAAGTCGAAGGTACACTTGTTTCCCAATGTTCATTGCAGCACTCTTCACAATAGCCAAGAGCTGGAATCAACCCAAATGTCCATCATCGGATGAGTGGATACAGAAAATGTGGTATATCTACACAATGGAATACTACTCAGCTATAAAAACGAATGAAATACTACCATTTGCAACAACATGGATGGACCTTGAAAGAATAATATTAAGTGAAACGAGTCAGGCAGAGAAAAAGAAATACCACATGTTCTCACTTATTGGTGGGAGCTAAAAAAAAAAAAAAAAAAAAAAAAAAAAAAAAAAAAAAAAAAAAAAAAAAAAAAAAAAAAAAAAAAAAAAAAAAAAAA